GAGCCTCGCCCACCGAGGGCTGCGTTCAGTGCGTGCACAGAGGCTGCCCCCGCCCGCCCCTCACGCCCACAGACGCCAGGCACCGAACTGCCTTGCAGTCTCAAAGCCGCACACTCTCAGAGCCCCACTCAGAGCCGCACGGTCTGCCGCGAAGGCAGCCAAGTGACTCGGCGGCGTCCGTGGCGGGCTGGCCCAGGCCCAGCTCTCTGCGACTGAGGACTCGGACGCAGCAGTCGCTGCCCACCAGCCGGCCGGGGCGCGTGACGAGTGAAGGGCCGTGACCCCTGCAGGAGGCTGCCCGAGACGCTGTGCTGGGGAGGGGCCTGCCCACAGGCGAGAGCGAGCGCTAAATTCTCCTGTCTCTTTCCTTTCCAGTGTGGAGCTAGATTTTAAGCAGCAGGAAGACAAACTCCAGCCAGTTCTGAGGAAACTCCATCCCTTTGAGGAAACTCAGGTTGCACCTACGCCTTATACTCAGGAGACTTACTCCGCCACCCCCAAGCAAAAATCCAAAACTGAATCTAAAAAGCATGGAAGATGGAAACTCTGGTTCCTTTAAAGCCCGTGGGGATGGCGTCTGCAAGCTGCCTGAGTCCCACTGGCGTAAGTCCTTTTCCAAGACGAACAGGACCGAGGAAGCCGTGGCTGGCGCAGGGCCACGCCGCCCTCACCTGCGCACCAAAAAGGCCTTTGCACTCACAGGTCCCCCACGGAAGGTCGCGCCGTGCGAGCGCGCACTTGGCGCTCCCAGTTACAGGACGGGAAGCCTGAAATGGAACTTCGTAGCCCAGGATGCTAGGAGCCCACCCCCATTCAGATCGGCAGGTGGCACGCCCGCCCTCCCAACGGCAGGCTGCCACGGACGCAGCCGACACTCATGCTTACTTCCAAGCCTTCATTTTTGCTGAAATACAGAGAAGAAAACGCAAGCCTTATGTTTGCAAAGGACTTCATTTTTACGTTCAGTTCTGCAAATAAGCAGGGGGCGAGTGCGATTTTCAGCACATCAAATTCCGGAGAAAGCACAATTTTTTCAAGTGGCCGGAGACCCTGAACAATCTCCACAGCGGACTCTGTACATTCGCCTTCCTGTGCTGTTGCGCTCGGCGTGGCACGTCTGAGGGCCGCGTGACGCCGCCGTCGCTCAGCTCTCCACGCGCAGCCCCGCAACACCCTTACTGCTACTTTCCAACGGCCGGGAGCCCCCGACGCCAGGACACGCCTTCACGCTGCAAGTGGACAGGGTCAGAGCTACCGGGCACTAAGCTTCCTTAGATCTCATTGTTAATCTGTCAGTACCCAAAGGCCAAGTGACAAATCCTGGCAAGCGTCTGGAAACACACACAGAGATGGATACGCCACGGGTAATGCAGGCGCCAATAAATCAGAGGGGCTGTCGGCCTCTGGAAAGCGTCCCTGTGGCTCAGCCTCGGAGCCGTGGCTCACTCAGCCTTCCACACGGTCCCTCCCTCACGCTTCGTGACAGCTGTGGAAAACCTGACCATCTCAAAGAGAGACAGCGTGTCCAGTGTAGCTGCTACCAATAAACTCAATGTCACCTACATTTAGCCTACTCGTAAGTTGTACTAAACCACATACCTAGGGCAAAGCTGTGAATCAGATGTTTTTAGGTATTTTTTAAATAAACAGTGACTCTTAGGGTTCCCTTCCGGTCACACATTGCAATATAAATCTCAGTTCCTTTATTTTTTCACTCATTCCTTTGCAAGTATCTTTTTATAGAAATCAAAGCCCCTAGCTGACTGATGACTTTGACTATCAATTTTTTGCTTTTCACAGTAGGAAGCAGGAATTTATTTTGCCTTTTTTTGTACAACTTGAATTTTGAACAGTCTGTGAACCTAGGAGAACACCTAGTCTTCGAGCTTGAGTCCGACAGTTTCGCGTCTAACCGCCCGCCGACCCGCACACCTCACTGGCTAGATGCCAACCGTGGTGCGGGCCAGGCCGCACACCCCGGAGCTATCTCACCACGCATTTTCCTTCTGGCTCAACAGCAAATCTATTTGAGTTCTAGGTGTTTGGATTCTACAGGGACCTAATGATTAGCGATCAGATCTGGACTTGCAAAAAATGAAGAGTATATATATCGTGCAAACTTTCTCTGGGGGTTACTCAAACTAAATCAGAGGTCTGCTCTAAATAAAAGAAACAACACACATCTCTCGCGGAAACATTCTATCTAGTCAAGGATTCCAAACCTTAAACATCAGTAAACAGAACTGTGAAACATGTTTGTGCAAGAAGCAGCAATTGAATCCGGTACCAAGAGGGAAGCGCCACTGTTTCCCGTAGTAAAATGTAAACAACACGTTTCGTGTATTTTATACTGTTTTTAACTAAAGTTACAAAAAAACGATTTGTGAGACATTCTCTCTCCTGTGTTTTAAGAATCCCAACTAATTCTGTGAATCGAAACAAGGGTCTCCCCTCTCTAACCAGTACCCGAAGTCCGTCTGGCCAGAGGACGCCCTCGCAAGCCAGCGGCCGCCGGGGCTGAGAGCAACCTAGACAAAATTGAAACTTTTCACGGTCAAAAAGGAAACTAAAGGTAAATTCATTCCTGGTGAGAAGTGAAACTACCTTCAGAATAGGCAAAGGTGTTTTCAAGATCATTTCATAGCTGAACTGCAGTGCGACACCAAATGATTCTTCTTCTTAGAAAGATTTAAGTAACAACTTCCATACCAGCCCAAGGTCAGAAGTACAGCATTCCCTCATATATCGATGTGACATGGCGTTACGTATAGAAATGAAATGATTATACTTGTCACTAAGTTCTTTATTAATTTTTAAATAAAAAAAGTCAAAGGTAACGTTCTGCGTGGGCGTCACACTTACTGCACGGTCTCCGTAACCTGGGCAACAGCCAACAGCAGCATACCGGTGCTCAGAAGAGGGCCCTGGCAGCTTGCTGGGCACGCTGGCTGCCACTGCAGGTGGGCTGGGGAGGGTCGGGGCGGGCAGCCCACGCGGGTTCACCTACAGACCACGTACCCCAGCAAGGGCCGGGGCTCCCCCTGCTCCCACCGCACAGCCCGGAGCTCACTTCGGTCTCATTTCCAAAAAACGTGAGAGACAGGAGAACTCACCTGCGGCCCCACAGCAGACACCCTGAGCTCTGCGCCTCTCCAGGTCATCTTCCGGCCATCCCCAGCCCAGCAGATGGCCATCTCCCTCCTCTCTTCTGCCCCGTGGCAGGGAGCACCCCGCCTGCCCGCGCAGATCAGCCCTACACTCACCCCTCTCTGGAGGGCAGAGCAGCTCTGGCGCGAGGCCTCGGAGCGGCGAGGGCCCCTCCCAGTCTATTCACAGGGCGAAAGGGGAGCTGCAGGCAGAGACCGGCACGATGCACGCTGCTCCAGGGGAAGGGGAGTGCTGAGCTCAGCTCGCAGCGGGGAAGGCGCACCAGCGCCCCGCGCTGTGCCAGTGGTGCGCCCTATGCAGGAGCCCCCGCCCAGACACCCTGGAAGTCCTGGCGAACACGCGCCGCCACTTGGGCTGCCAGGGCAGCCTGTGGACGGAGCCCCCGAGGCCCAACCACCAGCCCCGGGCCCTGCAGAGGCCCCCTGTGTTAAACAGCAGCAGGCCGCCCGGTCTCCTTGACAATGAGGCCGGGCCAGGGACGCCGGGGGATGCGCCGACTGACGCGTGACTCGGCGTCCGGAGAGACACCAACGACGCCCGGCTGGCGAGATGGGTACCGGCAGGAAGGTCAGAGTCTGGCTTCGGTCTTTGAATCCGGGGCCATGACACTGGGCAGTAAGTCTGACCCGATTCACAGACTCCTCTCGCAGAAAACCTAAACACACCTCCCCTTTCTCCAAAACTTCCTTCCCTCTGTCCTCCAGCCCCGAGTCACTGACTATATAACCACCCTCTCCTAGAAGGCCGGGTGCTGCCTTCTCGGCGACAAGCTGCCGGAACCGTTTGCTCCACGACTCCCGTTTCTCCCGTTTGTCAGTGCGGCGTTGCCAGGCGCAACACTGATGGCACGGTGCACGGAGCATCGGCACTCCACGAGGACACGTTTTATCTCCTGACTCACGCACGCTCTGCCGTGCACAGCCCACGCCCGTGAGCCACATTTCATGTTAGACTCTGAAAGCGGCAGCTGAAACCCCAAGATGCCGCCAGACCCCGGACAGGACAGAAGGCCCCCGAGGCGCCAGCGCCGCACCTGGGCCCCGAGCGCCCCAGACCACCCCTGGCCGCACTGGCACGGACGAGCGCAGCCAGGGCTGGTTCCGGCCCCAGCCGCTGGAGGACCCACCTGCCGCCAGCGCCCTGCGCGGAGGGGCCGCCCGCAGCCGCAGTGAGCGTGCCTGTCTGGCGGCCAGGGAGCCCTGCGGGGGCTTTTCTGCTCGCTGACCAGGGCTGCTGCCCTTGGAGGGCCATCCGCCAGACTGAGCTGAGGGGTAACTCGCACTGCAAAAGAATGACATGGGCAGGGACACACACACGGCCTCGGCGCCCGAAGCCACACCGGAGTAACAGCGAGGAGGGCGTCACGCCGACGCGCCCAGCCCGGTCCCTGCCAGCCCTTGTCGGGGAAAGGCAGAGCCTCCCGTGCCCAGGCCTCCACGCCGCCACGCGGCGCCAGGCCAGCCCCCGGCGGAAGGCGCCGGGGAGGACGGCGGCAGAGGAAGAGCGGTCGCACTGGAAGCGCAAAGATGCGGAAGGGGCAGGGAGCAGCCGGGGCCTCAGGCAGCACACAGCCTTCGCCAGCGCCGAGGCCTGCAGCTGCGGGCCAACGCGTCCTGCCCCTGGCGTCGCGGGGCTCACTGGCCAGCTCCGACGCTGGCTCTAGGCCGTGGAAAGTGAGTGCGTTTCCCACAGCCGACGGAGCACAAGTGCAGACTGTCACAGCACGAGCTCGGTTTCGCAAAGGCAGCTGGAGGAGGAGCGGGCGGGCCGAGAGCCCCAGACACTCCCGGCGGCGGCACGGCCAGCACGGTGGCGCCGCGCCGGACACTTACGATGAGCTCCGAGTCCCGCCCCATGGAGATGACGGTCCGGTTCACGGTGCGGAGAAGCTTCTCCATGATGATCTGCACGTGCCTCTGAGTTGGGCCCTGGAGGGGGACAGAGTCAGCACCAACACCTAAGACATGGTTAACATGCCCGCCTCGGCACCTGTCACCGAGCCCACTCACCCTGCAAAGAGTAATCAATTATCACCCTCAACAAGATGAAAAATGGCCCCTGTCAGAGGCAGAAGCCTTCACAAAGAAAACACAGGGCATTTCATTAATTATCCTCCATTCATGATGCATGATGCTCTGTTATGCAATCATTGTAATTTGATTTAAGCAAACCTTAAAATGAAAGCAAATCTGTCCAGACAATAGAATGTTCACGATCTCCGATGAGCCTGCCGCTCAGTTCTCGAAAGGTTCCCCCATTTGTGAGCAGGGGGCCGGGTGGGGGCCGACTGCTCGCAGTCACATCCGAGCACACAGGCACAAAGGGTCACACAGGAACGTGGACTCAAGGTCCAAGCTGACCTCGGCGCCGGACAGGCCGCCCTCGGCGTAAGCACTGGTTTTGCGGGTCGTGGCGGCTTGGAGCCCCTTCGCAGCTGAGCGGGCGTGAGACTGTCCCCGAGCCTCTCCGTGCGGCAGGCGGGAACCAGGCCTGCGAGGCTGCCGTCCAACCCCCACCCCTGGACCGGGACCCTGGAGGCCCACTGTGGGATCAGCTCTCAAAAACCTTGTAGGGCGTTTGCCCCGGGGGGCTGCTCCGGCAGCCCACTGCGAGCTACCGTAACCCCTCTCTTTCTTCATGAGCCCCAGGTGGGCTCCGAGAGAGCAAGTCATGCTGAAACACAGAGGCCAGGGCCTGGTGCATGTGCGTGTGACTGCACACGCAGGCGCGGGCATCTCCGGCCATGTGCACAAGTCCTAAAGCGAGGCCTGCGGCCTTGCAGCCACGGGTCACTTCCCACTGCTCGCGGCAGTGACACAGAGCCACGTCACCTGCCCAGACGCGTCTGGAGAGTCAATGACTCTGACACTGATGTCTGGGCACCTGTACAGGTGTGTGTATGGGGGGAGCTGCTGGGCCAGACGTTACGTACATGCGCACCGTGTTTAACTGAGAGGTCAGCGGAATCGCAGACCACATAGAAAGGCAAAAGGAGATACCACCTTAAAAAGCAAAACAACGCACAACTAGCTGAGGGCACATGGAAGGCAGTGGCCTCCGGGGAGCAGGACCGGAGAAGGAGGTACCTCGAGGAGGAGCTACAGGCGGCGGCGCCTCAAAGCAATAAGACTGGACAATACACCGCAGGCCACTGGCCTCCACAGTGGAGACTAGCTCAGTCTCCACCTGGCCGACGAGCAAACTCTGGGGCTCGGAGGCACTGTGGAGCCACAGGAAGCTTGAGAGCATCATCTTCACTGCAGAAGCATAATCACGGCTGTTGAATTAACATGCTTTGCACATAATGGAACAATTTCCAGGGGTAGCTCTACAGAGAGAGACAGAGGCTGGCCAAAGAATTAAGGCACCCCATTTGCCATGGATCAAGGGGACGCACCCACCGGGCCAGGGGTGCACGGGTCCCAGCCCTCAGGAAGCCCAGGCTGGAGCGGCCCTACTCACCACGTCCTTCCTGTACAGCACCTCGAGGATGTGACTGAGCAGCTGGCAGCAGGCTTCCAGGTCCTCTTGCCTCTCCAGGTGGTGCTTGAGCTGGTCGGTCATCATGGGAAGCAGGACCTCTCGGCAATCTGCGGGAGGCAGGGGTGCCAGTGAGCAGGGTCGCACAGAGACGCAACTCCGGAGAGCCTGGCCTCTGCGAAGGCAAGACGCGCGCTCGCCCCCTGCCTCCACGTAACGCCGAGGGCGGCGCTGTCCTTCGGGCATCTCCACTGGCAAACCATGGCACACCCACGCTGAGCTGGCGCCGCTGTCCCACCGCCTGGCCGTCCCGCGCTGGAAGCCCCTGGAGGGACAGCGGCAGGCGAGCCAGGCCTCGCCCACCTCTCCAGCAGCCCAGCGTCTGGCCAGTGTCCAGCTGAGTGGGAACCGTATGCAGGTCCTTGTGACGTGAGAGTGCAGGAGTGAGTGTGCAAACACAGGCACGCTCGTGGGCTGAGACGCCGACGCCGCGGCACAGACGCCACAACATACTGAGCTTCTGAAAACGAAGAGCTGCTGCCATATGCCATGACACGGATGGCAGTGGAGGGCATCATGCGAGCAGAATCGGCCGCAAGGGGAAGACAAATATGGTCTCGTGCACACGTGGAATCCACAGACATAAAACACCAGCGAGAGGGAACTAAACAAACCGAGAACCCCAACTGCGGAACTGAAGGAACCAGAGTGGGGCCGGCAGTGGGAGACGGCAGAGCCCTGGGGGCGTGGTGTCGGGGCACACACTGAAGAGGTGCGGCCCTGTACCCCCAAATTATTTACGATGCTGTAAACCCCTCTGATCTAAATAAACGCAGCATAAACAGAGAAAGGAGCCTGGCAGGAGCCGGTCTGCCTCCCAGGGCAGCCCAGCCGCTCCGCCGCCCCCAAAGGAAGCGACACGCTTTCCCGCAGACCTCCGTTTTCAAACGGGCGTGTCTTGCTCTGATTTCAGCCCATATCACTGTTCTCAAGAAGTGGCAGGCACACGTGTTAAATAACACGATTCCCCCCTAAGTCAAGATCCAAAACCAAGGGCCTCCCTTGGGGGCACAGCGGTGCAGTCTCAGCTCTGCGAAGCAGCCGCAGCCACCACAGCCCGGGTTCCAGCCCCCAGCAGGGCAGCAGGGCGGGACCCCAGGGCGCAGCACACCCCCCTGTCTCCCCGGTGCCCCCTCAGCAGAGGGTTTCAGTGGATCCGCCTGCTCTGTTCCCACTCTGTCTCTGGGGAGCCCTCTCACCCCCGCACCTCTGGCCTGCACCTCAGTTACTATACGAATAAATAACTAAAATAAATCTTAAAAAAAAAAAAAAAACAGAAAAACACAGAACCAGGTGCAAAATATGCACACAACACACACTACCCACGCAAAGTACCACAGAGTCGCACCCGTTCAGGCCCACACCACCACACACACGCGCACGGCCACACGCCAGCGTTCACGCCTTCGATGAGCTCTTTTTAAGCACCAGACGCTGAGTCTGGGGTGAAGGAAGGGGACGCGCCTGCGGCCCCCACTCGGCGCCTGGCACTGAGCCCATGAACGCAGCGGTCTTGTTACGTGAGGCTCTGTGTGACTGACCCCTGGGATCAAAGCGGGCGGCCCGGGAAGCTGACAGTCACAAAATGAGACAGAGCCTATTTTAAAAGAGAACACATTGAAAACACACTGCCCTCCGCCCACAGGCACCTGCTGGGGGAATGGCTGCGGTGAACACTGGAGCCGTCTAGCGCCGGGCTCATCCCGCGGGACTTCGGCAGGGCGTAGCTCTCCCCCAGCTCTGCCCACCAGACACACAGGAATTGGGGCATCGCTCTTGCCTCTCGGTTTGGGCCTGGGGCAAAGGCAAGGACCCTCGCAAATGTCCTCAGCAAAGTGGGGGCGCCGCTGCCCGCTTGGAGTCATTGTGAGGGGAGGCGTGTGCCGTGAGTCTGGCGAGCGGCTGCTGGCGCAGCGCTCACAGAGCTGCTACGATCCCGCAGAGCGGCCCTTTCAGCGAGCGGGCGCAAAGCTAAGGCCGCCTGCGAGGCGCACCGACCCCCCAGCCTCAACATGCAGCCTGCGGCCTGCGAGCTGGCACTCCCTGCTACTCAGGCCTACGCAACCGAAGCCTCAAGGTAAAAACGGTAGCTGAGCCAGCCATCGGGAACCACTGTCGCAACAGCTGGCTGAAGACGTGTGTCTGTGACTCTGCGATGGTTAATTCCCGCGTGCTCAAAATACAGGTGAGGGGCGGCCAGCGGAAACCCAGCACCGGGGCGGGATGTGCTGTCGCAGGAAAACAAATGCTGCACCTCAGAGCTGCCGTGTGGGAAGAAGGGTGCGAAGTATTTCAGTGCAAGTCGCGATGATACTGCAGATACAGTCTGCTGTTAAAATTAATTTCGCCACTCTCGCTGTACTACTTTTTTTCTAATTTAGAAAATTCTAAATTGTAGAAGCAGCTCCTACTCCTTGTGGGGCAGAGCAAAGCCGCGGAGGAGGCCAGGAGGCAAATGCTGAGGTTTCTCCTGCTGGTGAGCTGCTGCTCCGGGTGAGCACAGTGGATCCCCACCCAGAGGCCCGGCACGGGGGTGCTGCCGGACAGTGGTCAGCCTTCCCGACCCTCCCCGCTGGGCAGAGGAAGGCGGCCAGCCCAGCCCAGGTGGTCCGAAGGGGCAGGCAGGCCGGGGGGCTGAGAGCCCCTCCTGCCCACCGTCACCCCCACCCCCGCTCCAGCAGCGCCCACTGTGAGCACAGAAAGCAGCGATTCAACATCTGCTCAGCCTCAGCTCTGCAGGCTGCAGTCATGATGATTAATACCCTGGAAATGGGCACAGAGTAGCAAATATTAATCTTTATAAAAGGAATTCAGCAGGCACGATCGGCTTATGGATGTCCAAGCAGAACCTCCGCGCGTCACCCCGCTACAGCTCCACATTAAACCAGGGTGCAAATACAAGAATGCATTTGTCCATTTAAAACATTCATTTTATGAACACTGAGTAATGTGCTTCTTAATTTTTAGTATGGTCACATTAAATAAATGATCCATAAAGTGCATTTAATAACCTTGAGCCTGTTACACAAAACTGAGATCCAGATTAACACTTTTAATGAGATTTAAACAGTAAGAGCCATATAAACGGGATGCTGTTATTCATCTTTTATAGACATGATCTTTATTTTTCAGCCATTTAAGAACTCTATACCCACATGATTCAATTTGTTTAAACGATTATTCTTCCTTCATACAAGAGTTCAAGCAAAATAAATGCGAAGACAGTGACAACAAAGGAAGCGGTCACAGCAGGCCTTAGCGATCTCCTTACTTTACAGGTGTGGGGACCAGAAGCCAGAGGGCAGACGCACAGGGGTTGCCCCTCTGAGCAGCAGCTGAGCCAAAATCAGATGACGCTTGGTTCTGAAAACAGAGGCCCTTAGGGCAAATTATCATGTATGGGTCATATGTGTACATGTGTGACCCAGGTCTCTTTATAAGCCAAATGCTTTTTATTCTTTTTTCCAAGAATCACCATAATGGAACAAGCACCATCACTAGCAGTGTCAGAGGAAAAAGTTCACAGCAAGTAGCTGCAGGGATGTTATTTTCCCTTTCTAAGCGCTAACCTGTGTCTGGAAGTGGAGTGAACACAGCCGCCGGCACGACCCCCACCCTTCTAGGAAGGGAGTGCCTCTGGAAGTGTTCTGGGGGAGACGCTCAGCCCCACTGCGTGCAGACGTGAGCACAGAGAAGGGCGTTACATCCAGCTTTGGGGTGCCGTGTGTTACCGAATTTGTAAGGAAAGGATGAAAGAACAAGCAAAGGGTCCTGAAAAGTGGGGAAACATGGCAGGACACAGCTTGCAGCACAGTGGGGGAAGGACTGGGTCACAGTGGCCTCGAGGATGAAGCCCCCGACCGGGGTAAGAGGCGTGTGACTGTGGGGAAGAAGGGAGCAGAGCAGCAGATACGTGGCGCCCTTCAGCTTGAAGGAGATGTAAGAGGGATTAGCTTAGGGTACTGCCGTAGTAGCTGACTGGTCAGGGAAGACACGGAAGAACAACTAATGGGGAAAGCTGCAATAGTCATTTATAAGTAGACGAAAACATTAAAAAGTCTCAAGTGAAAGGCTGGGGGATTTCTGTGGGCGTCTCGTCTGGCCCTGAACCTGTTCTCAAGAAGAATGGAGGCACATCAAGGAGGCAGGTCAGCGAGCTCAGGCCTCGGCGGGTCTGCCCAGCCCTGCTCAGGATCTTACCACACGGTGGGTGAGAAAACAAGCACAGGCGACTGGGCAGGTGATGCCGCCGCAGGCTGTGGAAGGTGGTGCTCCTCTCGCAGAGGGGGCCGAGCCGGACGTGTCTCCGTGAGCGTGGGCAGGCACGCCATACACACGCACACGACGCACATGCACCCTGTTAGGTTCCCCTGGCCAGGAAAGTATATGTTACCGCTGACAAGGAAAGGCGTAGGCTAACTTGTTTTTAAACAAGGTAGAAAATAAATGGAGCAGGCCAGTGAATTTTAGGGGTGCTCTGTGCTCAGGGGCGGGCAGCGTGCAGCAGAGTAAGAACGGAGTCTTAAAGGAGAGCCCGGGCTCTTCAACAGCCCAGGAAGGTTACTGCGGGCTGACTGCGCTCACAGGCCCAGGAGCGGTCCGTAGGCTCAGAGACCTGCCGCCCCGTGGCCCGCAGGAACCTGACTCCCAATGGGGCAATCACGGCAGCCTCTTCCAGTCTCACTGCGCCACTGCCCGGCCCCAGGCACAGGAGCAGGCCCAGAGACGCGTGCAGAATGGGTTCAGCAAACTATGAAAAACGTTAGACCAACCATTTGAGGAGATCAGCACTGCTGAACTGGTCACAGATAAAGATCCCCACACAAAGAGAAAAGCTATGAAAACTCCGTGATCTTACAGCATCTGAGCACACTGACAAGGTTTAATAGTGACATGTGTGCTAATTTATTTATCCATTTCCATTTTACCTGGCTTTATACGTGAACTCAGCTTTCTGGATGTACACTCGTATTCTGGGATTGAAACAATTTAATAAAAGAGCAGGTGACGAATTTCTAAGAGACCCACTCCTTAATCAGCACCATGGTGG